TAAACCATGTTGGACATTGTTCTGATGCTGGCCCTCAGGATCTGGTTAAACCTATCCTAGTTTGGCAAACCTGCCTAAGTCATTATATCTGATTGATTGATTAAACAGCCAATACCTGGGCAGGGCCGAATAGGGTAGGCGTAGCTAAGGTTCCCGGGCTTCGGATTCAAGAGAATCAAGGGAGAAAAAGAGGTAAGAGAGGTGAAAGGAGGACACCGTGATGGGTTAATGTGGAGAAGAAAACCACGTGGGCTGAGAGGAAGGACTCCAATAATTGCGTAAAAAGGCCCAGGTGAAGAATATAAGCAAGTACCATGGGGTTATGTATGGAAGATAGACCAGATGAGGAGGATTAATGTGGATGGCATTGGATGGGCTGGGAGGTTGATGGAGAGGTTACTGAGCCAGCGTTGGTGAAACATTTGCCCAGCTCAAGGTAATAGGCAATTATAAAATCTAACAGGTGTCTGTGTCTTATTATTTGTGATAGAGGGTTAGATAATACCGCCATGATAATCTTAGGGCTAACAGTCAACATTATATAGCCCAACACTCATTTTTTTTTTTTTAAATTTACTACAGCAAAGCCATCTCTCCTGCCTTTTGTGTAGTGTTTTGGTAAATTGCATATTCTCGATATTACTCCTGTCAGATGTGTAACTGGCAAAGACTTTCTCATTTTTTAAAAAAGAATTATCTGTTTATTTATTTTGCATATATATGTACTCTATCTGTAGGTCACTTGCATGCCAGAAGAGGGCATCAGATCCCACTGTAGATGGTTGTGAGCCACCATGTGGTTGCTAGGAATTGAACTCAGAACCTCTGGAAGGCAGACAGCGCTCTTAACCACTGAGCCATCTCTCCAGTCCATCTCTCATTCTCTTCACTTGGTTAACTGTTTCCTTTGCCGTGCAGAAGCATCATAATTTCATGAGGTTCCATTTGTAAGGTGATGGCCTCATTTCCTAAGTGACCAGAGTCCTTCTCCCTATTCAGAAAGTCCTTACCTATGCCAACATCTTGAAGTATTTCCCCTTCCTTTCCCTCATTTCTGACTTTCCTAGATTGCCTTAAGGCCGTTGACCCATGTGAAGTTGGCTTTTGTGTAGAGATAAAGTAAGTAAGTATTCTCATCCTGCCGCATGTCACTATCTGGCAGGGTCGCTACTTGTGGAAGATGCTGTCCTTTCTCCAGTGTGTATTTTTGGCATCTTTCTCACTCAGGTGGCTGTAGTTACACTGCCTGAGTCTGAGTCAGCAATGCCAGCCTGTGGTTCGATGTGCCTGTTCCTGTGCCGGTACTTCCTCCTCCAACACTCTAGCTAAGACTTCTAGTACAACACTCAGTAAAAGTGAGGGCATGGAAGCCTTGCCCAAGCTTGTTGCTAATCTCAGAATCCAGGAAAGACGTTCCTCACACCATCCCTTTGAGAGATAAATGTCAGAGGAGGTGGAGAGATAGCTGGGAGGCGGAGCTGGTGTTTGCCCAACATTCTTGAGGCCCTGTGTTGCATGAAGGTAGGGGAGAGGTAGAGAGAAGGAGGGATGGAGAGGGGAAGGGAGAGAGAACACCAGCTTTCTGCTATCTTCAAAGGCATAAGGGCTGCCAAGCAGAACTGCTTAACAGAGGAAAACATTGGCAAACGCAGAGGTACCAGTGTACTTAACACAGCTGTCCATCAACTCCTCCCTCGTGTCCTTCACTAACTTTTTCAATAACTTACTCTTTTTCCAGTCTGGGACAGGCGTGGGGTGCATACCTTTAATTCCAGCACTCAGGAGACAGAGGCAGGAGGTTCTCTGGGAGTTCTAAGCCATCCAGGGCTACAGAGGGAGACTGTCTAAAAAACAATCAACTAAATAAACACCTCCACTCTTTTCAGCACAGTCTGGTACCCAGGCTCAATCTGTACTGTCACTTATAGCAAGCCAGAGAATAGTGGAATAAAGTCAACTTTACTATTTGAAAAGTTGACTATTTGGGTTTGGTTGTTGTTGTTGTTGTTCACTTATTTATTTATTTTGCATTTTCTCCAATCTCCTGTGAACTTTTTTTTTAATTTTTACTAATTACAATTTATCTACTTTGTATCCCCCCTGTAGCTCCCTCCCCCTCCCCACCCAATCCAACCCTCTCTCCCCCTTCTCCACCCATGCCCCTCCCCCAGTCCACTGATAGGGGAGGTCTTCCTCCCCTTCCTTCTGATCCTAGTCTATCAGGTGTGGCTGCATTGTCTTCCTCTGTGGCCTGGTAAGGTTGCTGCCCCTCGGGGGGAGGTGATCAAAGAGCAAGCCGATCAGTTCATGTCACAGTCAGTCCCTGTACTATTTGTTTTTTAAGCAGAGTCAGATGTAGCCTAGGCTGGCCTTGAGCTTTCTAGCTAGCCACCAATGAGTCTAAGCTCCTGGTCCTTCTGCCTTCTCAGTTCTGAGGTTACAGGCATGTGATCTCAGCCACCATGCCTGGCTTAAAGTCAAATTCTGTTTGACCATCTTGTCCTTTGTGATTTTTTCCTTAACAGGGAACATCTTGGGAGCTATTCGGTAAAAGAACTGTCCTAATGGTAGCTCTTTTGCACTCTAAGAAAGACCTCCGTCGATTTTGAGTTAGCTGACAGTCTGTTTTATTTTGTTTTTATCATGAATGAGTATTGGGTTTTAGCAGATGATTTTCTGTTTTTAACTTACCTATTATCTTTAAAAACGACTAAATTTATTCATGGGAAGGGGTGACAGCACATTTCTGGTAGTCGGAGAACAAGTTGAGGACATCATTTCTCTTTTCTACCATGTAGGATCCCAGAGATCAAACTCAGGTCATCAAGCTTTGCAGCAAGTGCCTTCACTCATGGAACCATCTCACTGACCCCAAAATTTTTATTTTTGTAATGGCAAAAACATAAATATAGATCCAGGCTGTGCTGGTGCTCGCCTTTGATCCCAGCACTTGGGAGGCAGAGGCAAGTGGGTCTCTGAGTTCAAGGCCAGCCTAGTCTACAGAGGGAGTTCCAGGACAGCCAGGACTCTGTCTGCATGCACACCTGCTTGCCAGAAGAGAGCATCAGATCCCTTTATAGATGGTTGTGAGCCACCATGTGGCTGCTGGGAATTGAACTCGGGACCTTTAGGAAGAGCAACCAGTGCTTTTAATCTCTGAACCATCTCGTGAGCCCCAACAGTGGTTTTTTAGCAGGATAAGAAAGGCGGGGAAGTTTTTGGAGACATGAGGAGGAAGAAAAGCCCTTTCCCTGAAAGACCCCAGCCTCACCCTAAGTTAAATATAGCTAATGCCATTTTGTGAGACACCACTGTTTTGTAAAACTCTGAAGGCCAGATGAGAAACTGGAAAATTACTGAGAAATCCTAGCTGTGTCACCCACTTGGGATATCTGTGGTCAGGCTGCCCCAGTCATACTAAAAACAGTTTGTGTTAATCACTTTCATAGATATCTGTGAGACTGTTTCAGCTAAGATAGAGAAAAACAAAATAACAGGTGGCGGGCCACGTCAAGGGGTCATCCTACCCCCCTTGACCACCCAGTTCCTAGAATCTTGGTGCCCCTGCCAAACTTTGACGCAAATTGTGGTCTCGTGTAAACGTACCAATCAGCCCCCTATAACCATGCCCTCTCGCTTCTGTACCAGTGCTTCTGCCTCTAAAACCCTATAAAAACCCCAGCTTCCCATCTAGGGGGGGCGGAAGTCTCCCGAATGACTTTTCGCCCCAGGTACCCGTGTATCAAAATAAAAGCCTCTTGCTGTTTGCATCCGAATGGCCTCGTTGATCCTTGGGAGGGGGTCTCTCTGACGGAAGATACCCTCCGGGGATCTTTCATCCCCAGGCATTGGGTGAAGCCTCTCCCCAGAAGCCGAGCAAGCATCCCAGTGAAACTAAAAAGGCTCCTTTCCTTCCCAGCCATTAGCCTCATTTTCTAGGAATCTCATCAGAAGGCCTACTCACAGGAAAAGGACGTGTGCTTACCATCTGTGAACCCAGTGGCTTCTGGCTTTTATCAGACTACGGTGCCATCCATGGTGTTTCCAGAGCATCATGTATCTGCCACAGTGAGAGACCAGAGAAGTCTCTGGGCTAATGACCTCCTCTGCTCTGGTGCTGTGATTGAGCACCAGGACCTACAGCGACTTCAGGAAAGATATATATTTATCCTTTAACTCCCAGGCTACATTTATCACTGCTGGAAGCCAAGGCAGGAACTGAAGCAAAAGATCACCCAGGAGTGCTGCATGCTGGCTTGCTCACCTGCCTGCCTTGCTTCCTTCCTTCCTTCTCACCAACCATTTTTTTATACAGCCAGGACTCTGTCTCCAGCCCACCTGCTGGAGGAGGTTAACTGCCCACAGTGAACTGGATCCTCCCACATTAATCAGCAATCAAAGACATGCCCACAGGCCTGACAGATGATTCAATTCCTCCATTGAGATTCCCTCATCCCCAGTGTTAGCTTCTCTGTTGCTGTGATAAAACGTGGACCAAAGCAGCTTAGAGGAGGTGAGAGGAAATGAGATGATTTCATTTTACACTTCCTGGTAGCAGAGGATCACAGAGGGAAGTCAGGGCAAGAACTGGTGCAGGAGCAGAGGCAAGAACCATGAATGAAAACTGCCTACTGAGGCGCTCGTGAGATGGCTCAGTGGGTAAGAGTACTACCTGCTCTTCCAGAGGTCCTAAGTTCAATACCCAGCCACATGTGGCTCACATCTGTCATATAATATGATCTGATGCCCCCTTCTAACATGCAGTTATACATACAGGTAGAGCACTTGTATACATAAAATAAATAAATAGAATCTAAAAAAAGAAAGAAAAGAGAACTGCTTACTGGCTTGCTTTTCATGACTTGCTTAGCTTGATTTCTTATGTAAGCCGGAAGTTATAAAGTTATATAAGTGACCAGTGTCCAGGGGTGATATCAGTTACAGTGGGCTGGGCCCTCCCACATCAATCATTAACCAGGAAATGTCCCACAGGCTAATATGATGATGGAGGCAAGTCCTCAGTTGAGGTCCCTCTTTCCGTGTCTGTCTCGGTTTGTCTCAAGTTGACAGCAAGCTTTTGAGGTACAATTTGACGTGGCATAAGCGGCAGGTGAGAAGAGAATTGCTTATTCTTGCCTGGAGAAGCCACTTTGTTGCATCTTACTTTATTCTGTTCTACCCTGGGGACACATACCCCATACCCACTTGGGTATGTGTTACTTTCTTCAGAGTACCTTTTTTTATTTTCCTGAAATGTTTGTGAAAATTATTTTTAATTGTTGGTGGTGGGGGCAGCAGTACGCACAGGAGGGCAGGTCCCTCAAGGCATCAGATCCCCTTGGAGCTGGAGTTACAAGTAGTTGTGAGCTTCTGGGCTTGATGCTCCATCTCTTAAGAATGATAGCTACTTTAAGCACCAAGCCAGCTCTCTAGCTCCCTTTCTTTCCTCTGACCCTCGTGCTGAAGCGTATCTAAACTATCTTTCACGAAATCTGCACTGTGCTTTAACCTGGCTGGTCCTGGAACTCCTTTCACCCTTGAAGCTATGAGCCTCAGTCAAGGGGGAAGCCTGGGGGGTGGGGGTGGGGGAGAGACGGAGTCCTCAGGCTGCTGAGGGTGACATTGTAGAGTTGTCTCCCTCCCTCGAAGGGCTGATGGCTTCCATTTTCTCTTTGCCAGCTTGGCTGCCGGCTGTTGTCCCAGAATCCCCTCCTGCAACTCCTTCCATGCGGTGGTTGGCACTGTCCTTGCCCAGCAGGGATCCCTGGACCCCACTCCGACCATCAGTCGAAGAGGATGCTCTGCAGCCCTGCAGTTGGTGTTGGCTGAGATCCCTGCACTACACTTTAGTCTGCAGCTGCTATATCCCAGAAGACACAAACATTACGAGCGGTATTTGAAAATGCCGGATCCACACGTGAGTGACATGGTTACAACAATCACGGCCCCTGAAAGGAAGGAGCCAGCAAAACCATGATGGTACATTATCCAAGGAGAGCCATCTTTGTGGGGCTTGCTCCCAAAAGTGACACGCCTGGTTAGTTAGTTTCCTTTAATTTTATTTCCCTTTAAGAGATGGTCTCATGCATCCCAGACTGACCTTGAATTCAGCTCCGGATCCTCTTGTGTGTAGCTGCTGAGGACTTGTGTCATAGATCCGTACTACCACCTAAGGGTGTCTGGGAGGTTTATGCCTACCAAGGACGGAAACCAAGGCTTTCTGCATGCTAGGCGAGCACTCTCCTTTTGCCGGGTGGACAAAGCCCTGTTTCTGCAGAGCACCGCCGAGGGCACTTGTTTTCCAGTGCCTTGGTTTTCCATAGATGTGATAAGAATTGCTTTCTTAAACTGAGCATGTCAGCACGCATCTTTAATCCTGAAATTCACAGTCAGGCACATCTCTGTGGCTTTAAGGCCAGCCTGGGTTTCAGACCGGCCAGGGCTACAGAGTAAGATCCTGTCTCAAAAGAGGGGGTGGTGGTGGGGTGGTGGAGAGATGGTTCAGCAGTGGAGAGAGATTACTGCTCTTTCGGAGGACTGGAGTTCATTCTCCAGACCCAACATCTCCAGGTACCTGCACGCACATGACTCGTTTTCAACTATTTCTATCATTGAAAACCCCAAAAGCCAAATTCAAAAGTTAATTTGGAGTGCCCGGGGTCTCTCTGACTGCTCTTGTGGCTTTCTTCTAATGTACAGATAAAAACAACAGGCTGTGGTGGCACACACCTGTCACCCCAGCACTCAGGAGGCACAGACAGGTGGAGCTGTGAATTCAAGTCCAGCCTGGGCTACAGAGGGAGTTGTAGGACAGCCAGGGCTACCCAGAGAAACCCTGTCCCCAAGGAAAAAAACTGAACAACAAACAAAAAACCTGGTGAAATAAGCGGCCATGGAAGCCTGACCTTAGGAAACATAATCGTTAACTATAGTGACTGTAGTCAGATACATACCATCTGTCCTAATTTGCTTTCTGTTGCATTAATAAACAGGATGATCAAGAGAAACTTGGGAAGGGAAGGGTGTATTTCCAGCTCTCAGTCTGTCGTTCTTTGAGGGAAGCCAAGTCTGGAACCTGGAGGCAGTCTCTGAAGCAGAGACCATGAAGGAATGCTGCTCACTGGCTTGCTCCCCATGGCTTGCTCAGCCTGCTTTCTTAATGCAACCGGGGACCACCTGCCCGGGTACAGCACCACCCACAGTGGGCTGGACTGTCGGGAGCCACTCCCGCCATTACAAGATGGCGCCGGCTTCCTGCTTCCTGGTTCTTCTTGCCAGCATTTTCGCGCTTCTTGTCAGCATTGCTTTGCGATCTGCGCATGCGCCGCCTTATGCTAATGTAGGCTTGTGTGGTCCCCCATTTGGAGACCACATGCTAATTGGGTTTTGTGTGGAGCACCAATTACAGACGAACAAGTCACCCTGCTGGCTACTTAAGCAGAACGCACACAGGGTTCGGGGTCCTTCACCATCTGAAATCTAAAAGAGCCACTGAAGAAATCCTCGGTTGTTGCGTCGTCCTTATCGGCAAAGGCCGGTCGCGACACTGGACCCTCCCATATCAGTCATTAATTCAGAAAGTGCAGGGCCAGGCTTGTTGGTCCGTGCTTTCAATCCCAGCATTTGGGAGGCAGAGGCAGAGGCAGAGGCAGATGGATCTCTGAGTTCTAGGATGTTCAAGGCTACGCAGTGAGACTCTGTCTCAAAAAGAAAGAAAATGCCCCACAGGCCAGTCTGATGGAGATTGTCAACTGAGGTTCCCTCTTCCTAGGTCACTCCATTGTGTATTAAGATACTCACCTGGACATTATCATGTGTATTTTATCTCATGTTTTCTGTGGCTTACCATGTGACACCTTCTGTAATATACCTAAGCTTTTGGTGTCTCTCCTCATTTCTATTTCAGTTTGAAACAATCCTTTATCCTCAAACAAAAACTGAGTTGCCACATCAAACCTCCTTTCTCTATCCCTTATCATCCTCTCTCTAAGGAAAAAAAAAAAAGGGGGTGGGGGGAGAAACTGGTGAGATGGTTTTGTATGGACATGACACCCAGCCCTAACCTGATGGTACTGTGGTGTTTTCGTCTGCCTAGGAATGAACTGCTCTCTCCCGGTCATTAGCGTGCTCAGGCCTGAGTAGTAATTTACACAGGTCCCCTGTGATGACTAGAGAAAGTCAAGGGCCATCTGGAGTGCCTGAGAGATCCCAGTGGCCTGCAGGTGAGGATAATAGGATAACGAAGCAGGAAGATGGTGACTCAGGTAGTGGCAAAAGCCGCTAATTCCTGTGCTTGAGAGGGATAGGCAGGTCGGTCTCCAGCCTAATCTACAGAGAGAGAGTTCCAGGACAGCCAGGGCTACACAGAGAGACCCTGTCCGTAAAAAAAAAAAAAAAAAAAAATGTGCTTATTCCTGTGGGGCAGGGGATGAAACGGTCTTTTGCTAGTATATGACGGGAAGGACGAGATGGCTGAAGGAAGCAAAACAATTTTCTTGCCCAGCTGTGAATTCCACGGACATTTGTAATGTCCCGCCCGGCATACTGCATGGGACTGCTGTCCTGCTAGCAGTAAGAATAAATTCATCTGATCTAAATTTGAGTTGGGTCTAAGCCGTCTTCCCCAGTGGCTTCAACCAGCCCAGCAGTTTGTTAAGCTCACTCGTAGGGGACCAGGCTTCCATACCCAGCCCCCACGTGGTGGCTAACAACTGTCTGTAACTCCAATCTCAGGAAGACTGACGCCCCTCATGGCCTCTGAGGGCACACGATGCGCAGGCATACATACAGGCAAAACACAAAAATAATAAAACGTGTTTTTAAGTTTAAAAAGTGTGTTTGTCTTTTAATTGGAGATGGGGCTCTCGTTACGTAAGAACTCACGGCAACCTGCCTGTCTTTTGCGGTTCAGGAAAGATGACGGCTGACTCTTCTGGCCTCCGCTGGAAACCAGGTACAGGGGTGGCTCACAGGCAAAACCCTCAGACACATACAGCTACAAATAAAGTCATTTTGTCTGAAATTTGCACAGCCATTCCTGTTTATGACTGTTTTTAAGGAGTTGTTTTGTTTGTTTTTGTTTTTTTAAAAGATTTACTTATTGTGTACATAGTATTCTGCTGCACGTACACCTGCATGCCAGAAGAGGGCACCAGATCTCACTATAGATGGCTGTGAGCCACCATGTGGTTGCTGGGAATTGAACTCAGGACCTCTGGAAGAATAGCCAGTGCTCTTAACCTCGGAGCCATCTCTCCAGCCCTGACAGTGACCCAAAACCCAATATGTAGAGCAGGCTGTCCTTGAACTCACAGAAATTTGCCTGCCTCAGCCTCTGGAGGGCTGGGATTAAAGCCTCCGCCCTCAGCCTCGCCTTCACCGTGAGAAGGCAGTTTGCTGAGCATGGGATTCTTGGTGAATGGGGTTTTGGTTTTTCCGTTAGCACTTTGACTACAGGCCGCATAGTGTGCTGTGTTTTGTTTCGTGTTTTGAGGTCACACTGCGTAGCAGCGGGTGACCCCTGGCTATTTCTGGTCCTGTTTAACTGAGACGCCCCCCTCCCCCACCCCCACCCTCCTCACGCAGGCACACTCACACACCATCAGTGGCTTGAGTTTCACTCTGAGATGGCCTAACGCTGCATCCATAACTTCACCCCAGATGCTTGACTGATCACCCTGGATGGCCCAACCAGGACCCTGCAAGGCCTCTGCAAAGGTAGGTTAGGTGGACAACGGGGAGGGGGGGGGAGTGTTAGGAGGGCTATTTCTTTGGGCCAAAGCAGCTAGTCAAACTGGGAGGAGCCAGGCAGGACCTCACTGCCTCTGGGAGGTGAGACCTTGTCAGTGCAGACCCCCCGCCCCCCCCCCCCGTTACTAATGAGACCACGCGAACTGAGGGTGCACGCGGAAAAGGTGCACACCACCGCGGGACACCGCTTCCCCACCCCGGTGGCCCCGGGGTGTCCGGGGTCTCGGCTGGCGGCACCCTGCTCTCCGCCCATGGGCGGAGCCCTCCGCGAGACCTCGCCCGCCCCGGAACGCCGGCTCGCCAGGTCCGCCGTGGAGGCCGCGGGTCTCAGCGCCCCCGCGGTGCCAAGCCTGCTCCGCCATGCTCCGCGCCCTGCCCCGCGCGCTGCGCCTCCCGCGCCCCTGGAGGTCCCCGGCGGCCCGCGGCCGCGCCTCCCACGCCGCGATCGGGACACCCGAGATCCGAGTGCACCCGCTGACGGGTCCCGACCGAGGTAAAGTCGCGGGTCGGGCGGGCCGGGACCCAGCACACGGGGAGGCTGAGGCTGGAGAGGGAGGGTTGGATCTCAGGTGGACCCTGAGCTCCCCGGCTTTGTCAGGACACTGGCCGTGATCCAGGGGGCGGAGGCGGCGGAGCCAATCCGGTTGGACCTGAGGGAATGAGGAGGGAGGGCGGGAGGGAGGGAGGCACAGGGTCCGCGGACACACAGGGAAAGTTCACTACCGTCGGCAGTTGGTCTTGTATTGTACCACGTGCTGGCAAGTTTGGATGTGTGGTGGGACCTCAGGCGCGTTAACTGGGTCTGGACCCCTCTCTCCCGTGTGTGTAACCTCACCCGTCTCCTTTCCAGTGTTCGGTGGCTTGCTCCTGTCAGATTTACTTACTTATTTTATTATTGAAAGCGTGTGGTTGCATGTGCCGCAGGGCGCACTTAAAATAACTTAGGTCTTCTGCGTGCATTTATATCTGTGCATCACATGAGTGGCCGGTGCCCGTGGGGGCCAGAGAAGCGTGTTAAAGCCTCAGGAACTGGAGCTACAGGTGGTTGTGAGCAGCCTATGTTCTTCTCTGCAGAGCCATCATGTTGCCCCCCCCCCCCCCATCAGTTTTAACTTAAACAGATGGCATTGCCCTCGGCTTTCTACTGAGTCTCTTCCAAGCCCTTCAAGGCCTGCACCAAGCTTTGAAGAGCTGCTTTTCTGAGTAAGTCTACACCGCCACCACCTTCCTGCTGCCACACACCGGCCCCTCTGTGCATTTGTGACTTTTGAGAGCCTCGAAGATCCTCCAACTGAGGCAGAAAGAAAGACTGGGAGTCTGACTAAAGCCTCTGGTCAGGAAAGAATGAAGCAGCGCATCCTGCAGCTGGGCGTGGCGGCATATACCTTGAATCCCAGCACTTGGGAGGCGGAGGCAGAGGCAGGTGGATCTATGTAGACCAGCCTGGGCTACAAAGTGAGACCCTGTGAATAATAATAATAATAATAATAATAATAATAATAATAATAATAATAATAA